TAACACATATGGATAGGAAGGAACCTTTAGCAAATGAAAAGCATCAGTGTAAGTACCTACAAAGATGCTAAGTGGAAGGTTGTCAAGGTTAAATATAGGACCATCTAGGTTGATTATTGGCTTTGGGTCAAGTACGTGTAAGGCTGGTCTAATAAGGGGAGGGTGGAATGACCCTAAGGGCAACGATCCAAGGCACCATGTTAGGAAAACATGGAATTCAAACCTAATTGGATATATATCCAAGATACTTGGCAAGTGTGCGGGCCGTGGTAAACCACCTTCTTCTCTCATTAAAAGGTTGTTAAGTTGGTTGTTGTTTGGTGTCGAAGGGTTCAGTATGAGGACAGCAATTGTTGGAAGTGATATATCAGTGTATATACCTCCGTTTAGGTCTTTGAATAGGTAAGTGTAGGTCGTGAAGTCCATCTCCGCCTCTAGTCCTGAGGGAGGGCTAAAAAAACATGAGACCGTGGCCTCCAATGTGTGTTACACACCTTCTAGCCATGACTAATATGTTCTATGATACTTGAGGATAGTACAGAGGTAGGAGGGTAGAAATTGGAATAATGGATTTTTAGATTGAGGTATTGCAATGGCAGAAAAGAATTATGTTGCCCTCTATATATACATGCAATGCACAAGGATGTCATCCCCAGTAACTGTGAGCAACCTAATGCAACTACTACCAACATTTTATAAATTGCTTTAACTTGCAACCTATTGTTATGGAGGTAGAATTTAGGTTTAAAATTTCCCCTTAGTTGACTCGGTGAACGATTGGAGGAGGTCAGTGTAGTTGTATTAACATAATTATTATGTTCTATATGCAAAAATGTGAAAAATTATAAACATTGAAACCTAATATCGACTTTTATTAATTTATTTAGAAGCTTTAGGGGCCCGGCGTCGAAAACTCTAGAAATTCTTGGGAAACAACTCTCGGGTCATATAATGACGTTTGGAAAGCAGCCTGGTCAATAAATGGTGTCCTAAATGTATGTGGTAGGGTTGAATTAATGAAAGCGGTGTAAGGTGTACACCATTCAATTTGTCGTTTAAAGCCAAATTGGATGGTATCAGCCACTTACTTTGTCAAAGTTTGAAGAAGGGCATTTGGTACCATGGTAAATAAATCTCCAATTTGTATAAGAAAAAAAATTCCAAACTCATTGCCTAATTAACCAGTCTATGTGAAATATTTCGAATGGTTCTGGGCCAGGTATCGTATTTGGTCAGTGAGAAAATAGGGGATATGTCTCGGGGTCATATAATTCTGTTTGGATCCATATATGATCATTACATGTTGGCATATATGTTCGTGTAAAGATTGATTTAATGAAATCGGTTGAAATTGTAAACCGGTTTATTAGTCGTTTAGAAACATATAAGGAAATATAACCCTAGCCTCTCTTTCCTCTCTTCTCTCTCGAAAACCCTAGGCTCCAATTTTGAATTTTGGAGGGACTTCCATGGATTTATATCGGTGAAAAGCCCCAATTGTTTGTTTTTGTGTGTTTTTTCTATTGTTTTAGGTTTATAATAATAATTTTTCCTCATCTAGGAGGAATATTTCTCCCTCGAAAGACCGGGTCTTTCTTCTTCTTTAGGAAGATTTGGCTCCTTCGAAAGAACGGTTTTTTCAACTCTCTTTTGATGGAGGATTTGCTTTTTATTTTCTGGATTGCTATAGAATTGTTTCATGGGTAAAATTTTGTGGAGATCAAAAAATAGGTTAATATGTCGATTACAATCTAGCGAATCATACGGAAATTTTCAACTGGGCTACAACAGATCAAAATACCCCCTCGCCAATGAAGGCCGTAATTCACACCGATATGAAAGAGTGTATGAAGACCTACGATTTGCAACAACGATCGTAGCTTTGCTTATGGAATGTATTTATTTGATTCAATTATAATGTATTCATTAGATCTAAATCTCTTTGTAGATGTTTAGCACATGTGAAAGGTTTTCTAGTTGAGTCGAGCAACCCTCCACTCGATCGATACGCACCCCTGATCCTACCCAATCTAATCACCACACTTTGATTCACGGTTAATACCGCATTACAAATACTCTCACCTTCAGTCTATAATTTTACACAAACTGTATGTAAATTTAAAAAACATAATCTCCGAAATAACACAACCAATACAAGTAATGAAACCAAACTCTATTACTCTAAGCTTCAACCTTGTCACAATTATCCTACTCCCAGTGCATAACCTAGTAAGCATATTTATTAATATATCGAGAGGACAAAATCTTACCCGAATAATATTGTTGCGCCGGATTCTGCATAGGTAAGTTAGTGGCGCTTGACGGATAATTATGTTGCGCTAGATTCTGCATAGGAAATTAATGTCTTCACTCCAACTCCCGGATGACTCCACCAGTGTAATGTGTTCAAGTTCCTATTAGGAATAGTTCCTGTTGTGGAAACTTATTTCATGTGAGACAACTCTTCTTCATGGATTCACTATCTGTCTAAACACTTGCTTATGTCTTGTTAGGTCAAGTTACCATCACCAAATTCAATTTAAGTTAAACTTAACAAACACCACAATACCTTTATTGGATGTGTTTGTTGTAGTAAAAGTTCATCATCATCAAAACCTTTAAATTTTCAACCGTCACTTACTGGATGTAATCACAGAATTATATTGTACCTTACAATATATCGAATTTATTCCTAGTTTTATCGAACCCTATGTATGGTTGCGCTTATAGATAAGATTAACATTATCCAATAGGTGATGGTGACTTAATTAGGTTGTTCAGGACAAGTCAAAACGTTTTTCTATATTATATATGAAATTTTCCAAAATAAAGTACTCTAATACACGATGCTAATGACATTATGAGGTATTGGGTCCATGGAGTTAATCACCTACACATCCTTACTGATACAACTTGCAATCCAATAATGTCGTTTTACATCATATAGGAGTATTACATGTTGTCGTAAACATACCTTGGAAACTGTATGTTACTAATTCAAAACAATTTGTGAAATTGTAAAATGACCTTATAAGGGCATATTGGATGTTTGCATTGACGCAGTTGGAATTCCACAGAGTAATAGGGACAACGGTATACTGTGCAGCCCTTTTCATTATACTGATTCTTTTGTCTATATCAATACCTACAACCTTTTAGGGTTATGTTGAGGGATAATCAAATACATTTTTGCATTTTTTTTAACTCCTTAACACATTTAAAATTTTCATGTTACACAAGTAAGGTAACAAATCATTATTTTAGCTCATAAACACTTTAGGGTTATTACCCAAGAGACACTACACATCTAATGCCTTTGTGCACCATAAACCTTCAGGTCCTTAATATATTATTATTAGTTTTTTTTTACTTTATAATTTTTTAATAAAAGTGAGTTTTGTTTACACATTTTTTCATAGTTGTATTTATTTCTTGCCCAACTAACTTATTCATGTCACTATTAATATCGATACTTGCCTTATATATAGGAGGTGTCAGTTCAACAACAGATCTTCATCCCATTTAGACATATATGAAAAAAAAAATTTACTTCCATGGAAGACCAACATAAACCCATCACATTTGTTTCTTTATGCAACATGAGATCTTCTCATAAACTGCCCGGTTTTTTAACTGCAACAAACCAAATCTCCTTCCCTGACCTTCAAATGTGCGATCCCTTCATACCAAGCTGCAAATTTGGACCAGCTGGAGGTCCTAATCCCACTGAAGCAGACTTTGACAGCATGCTTAGAGCACAGCTAACCTCAATGGCGGCGAGAGACAAGTTTGTTATTTCATCTCGTTCACCAGATTGCCTCACCGGATCTCACACCAAGTGCTTCTCGTTTACACTGTCAAAAAAAATCTTTACTGGTCTGTCTAAACACTTCTTTTTACACCCTACTCAACATCCTACCACCGTAAATGTTGCTTCAACGACGTACTCTACAACAAAGCATATTGTGATAGAACAAAATAGTCTTCAACACAATTGTGAGGCTTCTTCTTCCAAGGGTAAACAAAAAGAAGCTAAGGGAAAGGGCATTGTTGAAGAGGTGGGGCATAGTTGCTGTTTTGTTGAGTCTGGAGCTTCTCTAAAACGGGAAAAAGGTAACGCTAAGGCTTCTCAAATGGAATCGAATGCGAAGGGTATTGATCTTAAGCAAATGCATTCAAGTGTTGGACCTACTTCAGCGGGTTCCACATCAAAGGCTGGTGTAGGGAATGGGAAACCTAGGAAACATGTGTTCTGTATATTACCATCCATTCCTGAAGATGTTCAGTATGAAGATTTATTCCACCCAAAAACGTATGAAAATCGTTCTTATACTGAAGGAGTTGACTTAGATGGTAACAGCGTTGACATTGAAGCGGTGGAAAAAGTCCCTAAATGTAGATTTTGGTTTATCTGTGTTTGTGATTAGGTTTCTTGATTTCAATTTGTGTTGTTGCAGTGAAAAATTTTAGGCCTGCTTCAGTGTTTAAAGTTTAAGTTAAGCTTATGTTAACTGGCCGCCAACATAATCCGGCCCGTATCATCTGGTCCTAACTTCGCCTATGTACGCTTTTTTTTGTTAATTACTGAAATTGTGTTGGGCCTCCACTTTGGATCACTTGTTTCAGTTTCTTCAAATCATTTTTAAAAAAAAAAATTTCAACCATATACCGTATTTTATACAACAAATTTACAAATAGTTTAGGATTTATATTAATCAGAACTGATTCAAAAAAAGTATAGGATATATATTATTCTAAATGGTCTTGTATACAAAATGAAATTAGACCAAAATTAGGCCATCCACGCGCGTTTTAAATTGTAAAACCGGCCCCAATTTTGTATTGGCACCCAGGCCTTCTTAGGCCACATACCTCCGACTATATGTGTATGGTTTACTGAACCATCTCATAGTACAAACAACTATAAGTTACTGGTGCAACTTCCAAGCTCATCCAACCCCCCCCCCCCCCCCCCCCTCCCGCCCCCCACCCCACCCCCTACCAACATGCAAGACTTACAAAATCCGACTCACTAGGTGTTTCACTAGACACATTTGTGAGTTACCAAGACTATACACAACCCAATATCAATTGGGCGACATACATTATTAAGCTGCAACCATTAATTGCCTATAAATATTTAAGAAAAAACATCAGAGGACACTATGTTCTACGAAATGTATCGTCATTTAAATTCATTCCCATTCAAACTTTTTCTTTTCCTTTTGTATCAGCCTTCATACACACCTCGTCTTTGTATGCAATTTTACAAGGGGTTGGCTTTCCCTATGTGGCTTGTATCGGAGCCCGCCTTCTCCTGTCCTTACACCCCTCCATCTTGGACATATCCTGTACATATGACCAAATTACATCATATTCCGTGATCAATCTGTTATTAACCGTGCTACGTATTTAAGCGAACTCACAGGGTATTCTGTTTTGGTCATAGGGCCTTCAGTGTCCCTCGCCTCCCTAGGATGATATTCACCATATGCAACATCTAACACCTACAGATATTTTATTATTTAGCTTAATTTATGTTTGTTAATGTACTGAATAAAACATATAATAGGACAATATATACTTACCCCTAAGCAACCATAGTCCCCCGTTCTCAGCCTATCACACTTGCCGGCCTTCCAAATTTGCTTCATATTCCATACTTTGATGCGAGGATATACACCCCATTGAATCAGATCCCTATTTAAACGGTCCAAGTAATATATCTGCAACATTAACATAATTATTTTATGTAATGAGGCTAATTTTTCACACAGTTTCAATGAGTATGCTTAGTTGTACACTTACTACAACAAACATTGCACACCCTCCGCAACCTCCTGCATATCCATTGGCGTAAAATCGACGGGCAAAGCTACAAATACTGTCCATTAACTTACACAACACCAACTCACACCAATCATACTCACAGGTTTCCATTACACAGCCAAGTGCATGCATTAAGTCAGACGCTAATCTTGGCGACTGTGTAGGGCACAATACCATTTGCAATGCGACAATCAAGAATAGTGTTTTGAACTCTTCCTCCTGATTTACCTAAAAATGCCCCTCTAGCCTATCTTTCATCTCACTGGTGACAGGAATTCTAATGGATGTGTACACATTCCCACACTCATTCTTTGATTTAGTCTCCCATGATTTTCCATATTTCAAGAATATTTTCTGGACCTTGTCCCGAACTTCATCACTCATTGAATTCATGGTAGGGACTTCCTTTGAACCATTTGGGATACCTAGAACCCATCTTACCTGATTCTTTGATAATCGATACTCACGACCACCTGGAGCAATAAATACTTTGTTTAACGGATCAACCCTAGTCATTAACCAATAGGCCAGCTGCCTTGGCAAATGCATATTGCAAGCAAAGTGGAGCAACCCACCGAAACCCATCTCATACACCCACCTTCTCCTCCTGTCATCAAATTTTTGACATATTCTCCCAAACGACTCAATACGACAGTTCATATTAGGAGGCTGCACACATGATATATATTAGGAATATCATTAGCCAATCCGAAATTACAATATGCATTATACATAACTTCACTTCTACTACTATACGAAAAGTGACTTTAGAAAACAATACATTCAAGAACAACAGACCCTGTATTTATGAAAACATCTCCATTTGATAATACCACGCACAACAACTGTACAACGTAATTTCAGACAACACTCACCCTGCAGCTACTTGCCGAGTGTTCCATCAGAACTGCACTCCTTTCTTTAACAAGTCCACCAACGCTTATTGAATTTTCCTACATTTCAATACCATTATGTCAGTTTCACATTTCTGTGTTTAAATTATATCATTTCCAGTTCCTATCACAGAATTCGTATATACCTTAAACAATCCGGCATGTAACTGTATGACCTTCTGCCCATTATCCAAAAACATTGGCTGCACAAAACCACCAACCAGCTATTGTCAATTGCAAATTCGATTCGTTTTCACTCTGTATCAGAAATTTCCAACATTTTTTATTCCTTACATCTTTGCTTTATTCCCAAATTACAGTCACTGAATTCATATCCTAGAGTTGTAGTTGGTACATTTCCGACTTAATTGAAATCAGGAATAAAGTAACCCAACAAAATATTTCAGTACGATTATTGATTACCGATCCCAATTAAATAGAAAAAAATTTGAACGGAACTGACCTTCTCAATCTTTGGAGGCTGGTCTTCAGATGCAGTTGCTCCGCCAATTGACGATCTCTTCCTCTTCGAAATAGTTGTCATGATTTCCAGATTTACACTTATAGCGAAATTGGTGTTGTCGGTAAGTATTTCCCCTGATTTTACCAGTATACACAATTGGGTGATAGATTTCTGTATTTTGGGATTTCAATTTTAAGATGTCTCGATTTCGATCTGAAACTATGAATTGACACATTAAACCCTAAGTCCTTTATGTAACGGCTTCCTAACTCACTTTTAACACCGTCTATCCATGTAGCGAAGAGGAGTCCAACTCACAGTATGTGATGTACTGCATATACACGTCACTTGGGCTGAATTCCCGAATATACCCCTTTGATTTACAATTCACGTTTATCAATTTGATAAACTTGAATTTCCCGTTATTTAATACCCTGTTTAATAATCCAATCTATCCCTTGGCTGCCATTTCCTTTCGCTATCTAGCTTGTTAACTTACTGTTTTCACACTAATCTCTAGTAAATTGGTACCAAAACAATTATGTCTTGGTAGATTAAGACACTGAAATTATGTTTTTTTTTTTTTAAAAACAAGGAAGTCGTCGGAGATCCGATTTAATCACAATAACTGGAGCATGAAATGAAGGAGATGTCAAAGAAATTCTCCGAAAGGATGGAGGAGGCCACGAAGAGAATAGTTGATAATTTTTTTTTCTCTGATTTTCTCGTCCATGAACTTAGAGTTGAAGGAAATTAATAAGGAGCCTGAGAAAGAAGAGAATCAGGCAGATTTGCTAAAGGAAATGTTGAAGCACAACCAAGCCGTCAAAGAGTTACAGTAAATACCGTGAGGGAGGCATGTTCAACCCTCACATGGTGGTAGGCTTGGTCGGGCCGGAGAAAACAAAGGATTTGAAGCGGAAAGATCTGAAAAGAAGAAGTGGTAGTTGCACTCTCATTTATTTTAGAGGAAGAGGGTCACACGGTGGTCCTAACGATTTGTGTGGCTTTGTTGGCAGAGAATGCAATGCTATTGGCGGCACGTACAACTTCCAACTGCCATGGGTGAGTGGTAGTCGTGGTGATTTTGCAGGTGGATTTAACGGTGGAGGTCAAGGTGAAATTGTCGGCGAGTTGGGTGGTGGATATTGTGGGTTTGCTGGTGGTGTTCATAACTATTTTGAGGGAGTATTAGTTGGAAAAGTTGAGCGGGGAGGTTGAGCGGGGAGGTAAGTCCACCGCTAGCAGTGGCCTGAACAAGGAAGATGTCTTCATGAGGGGCGGGTCTAGAGCATGTGGGTCTGGAGGTGTTCCAGGCTGTTCGGTCTCTAGAGAAGACAATGGCAAAGATTACGAGACCGAGTGTGATAGAAGCAACATTAGTCATGGTGGAATCACTAGTATGATCAATTTTTCTCTATCAATGATTGAAGGACATGGTTTTACCGGTGGTAGGATAATTATCGGATGTGGACTGTGCTCCTTTGCTGGCGATGAAGCTAGTGGTGGGAAGTATCAATGTAGGTGGTTTCACAGTGGTTTCAAGAAGAACCTATCAAGAGAAATTAATAGGAACCTTAATGATTAACGCGCTAGCTTAGAGAGGAAGATAGTAGAAGGTGCTAGTAAGGGTAGAAACTAAATTATAAAGCTGTTGACGTGGCAAAAGAAGGTAATGGCTTTGTTGATGCAAGACTTATTGGACAACGTAATGTCTTCTTAACCTTGGAAATGGATTTAACTAAAGTATCATTTATAGAAGTCTGGTCTTTACTTAGGCCCACTACAATATGGCCTAATATCGTGCCCTATGTTTTAAGGCCTAACATCTCTACCCCACAATCCACTTTACCAAGTCTTTACTTAGGGCCACTATAATATGGCCCAATATCCTACCCTATGTTTTAAGGCATATCATCTCTACCCCACAATCCACTCTACCACTTAGCACCCTTTACAATATCATTTCATTCTTTAAAGCAACAAAAGCCTAATCCTTTTGTCCAATTTTTTAATCCAAATTTCTCCACCCTCAAACTTACAAATCCACCCTTTCAAACGTATGTCAACCTCACCCAAGTTTTCAAACCAACCTAATTTTCAGTCCTTTCCTACTTAAACACTTTAAACTTCAATGATGACACCAATTACATCACTCAAAAACCGATTTTCTAACATGACAATTTTCTGAATTTTTCTGTTATGTTAATGTTAGGGTTTGGTGAGCCCGACTCACCACGGAAACAAACTAAAAACAAGACCGCACTCGCAATAAAAAAAACCATAAACATAATTAAATTAATCACAAGATTAAGATAAAACGATTACCTTTGGAGCGTGCTTCGCCCGACCGCTTGGGCTCTTACTTGAAAGCTAGCTTCGAAATTACAAAGCATCCAACGATGATTCACCCGCAAAAACGATCACCGGTAAGGTCCAATGTCTTGGGGTTAGCAAGACCCGACCGATAAACCCGAGTAATTGAGTTCAAAGACTTTCATTCAATGTGATACCTTTTTCAACTTTTGAGTTCAAGGGTTTTCACTTACTTGTGATCCCCTTTCCAACTCTTACTCAAGCATTATTTCCAATGCCCTTACTTGGGTATTTATAGGAAATGAATAGAGTATGATTGTCTCTCCCACCAATGTGGGATAGTGAGATTTTCACATTTTATTTTAAAGGTAAAATAAAATTATTTAAGCAACCTAGTAATAAATCAACAAGTGTCAAATATTCGTGAGAGAGTGAGGACCACTTGGAGAGGGGGGGACCAAACTTTCTACCCACTCTCTCCCTCTCCATGTGCCACATGTCCTCCCTTTCAAGGCTCCCATTTACTCCTCCCTTGCACACGGCCCAGCTACCTGATGTGTCCAATTTATATTGTGTTTTACCCCGTCCCTTGGTCATAATTAGTAGTGTTTTTGGCTCTTTAGAGCCACTTTTATTACTAATTGGTGTTTTCTAGTGTTTTTGTAGTTTTGCTTGAGTTTTGTAGGAAATTGCACATTTGGACCGTTTTTCGGGTTTTTCTTGGAGCAACTACGAACATTAAGAGGACACGCGACCATCCTTGAAGCCCAGGACCGGTTAGAGCCGGTGATTAAGGGCTCAGTGTGTGATACCGGGGCATTTGGACCAAGTATTCAAGACCCGAAGATGAAATTCGGATTGGGTCGAAGAATCAAGCCCAATCGAAGTCTAAGCCTCGAGGAAGAGACCGGGCCCGATCGGGCAAGCTTGCGCCTGATCGGACAGGCGCGCAGAAGAAGGCACCAGCAAAAGGCGCACCCGATCGGTTGAGCATAAGCTCGATCGAGCGCGGCTGCCCTGGAGAACCTTGAAAAAAAAGGCGGGCCCGATCGGGCGGCCCTTTGCCCGATAGAGCGCGTGTTTTTGAGGACACCTGATTTCCGAGATCTTAGTTTTCAGTTAGGATTTGTTTTAGGGATGTTTAAGTACGATTTTTGTACGTAATTTTGATTTACCTTCTCTTTTAGACTTTCTCTCTCTACTTAGAATATTTTCTCTCTCTAAAGTTCTCTCAACTTTTTTCTTAATTCCATTCCTTAATTCAGATTACTTTTGGTAACAATTTCTTCTCTTTTAATTTTAGTTATTTTCTTAAATTCTTTCATCATGTTTTATTCTATTGCTTTGATTAGTTTAGATTTAATTATGCGTGAGTAGTTTTATTTCTAGAGTTTATGGGGATCTAATAAATAATATGAAGGGGTAATTTATGATTGTTGATTATCAATGCTTAATTATTTTCCTATTTATTGATTTAATGCTATGCAATTAGGTTTGGCCAGATTTAATTGTATGAGTTTAACAATATTTATTCGAGATTCGAGAGATGAGAATTGATGTTTAGGCTTAGTTTCAATAGGCGGACTAATTATAAATGGTTAAGTCGAGATTCGAGAGATGAGATTTAATACCAGTAAATTAACTCTGTGATTGTAATACGTAGCGAAAGCCCTTTATAATCTGATTAATTGATGCATTGATGATTGCGTATTATGATTTACCCTGGAATTTTGTTTATTGGTGAACCTATGCCCTAGGCTTTTCTTTCATTGATTTACCTCTTATTTTATTCCCTTCCTACTCTTACCTTAAGTAGTTTAATTACCTTTTTACAATAATTTGGTTACTTGATAATTTAGATTGCTCTTAATTAATTAGGAATAAATTGACTTGTTTCCCTGATGTTTAACCCTTATTCCCTATCTAATAGTTAGTGGATTTAGGTTTTATTTTTGATTAGGTGAATACGGCTTGAGCCTGTCAAATTTTGGCGCCGTTGCCGGGGAAACAGTTTTATTTTTATTTTCTGATTATTTTTCGTAGTCTAGATTATCCCCTCTTGTCTCAGAGAACGTTAGTTCTTTGAGGCAATTCTCATATTTGTCTTTTAGTTCCTTGTTTATGCCCAGGTGTTCCACATCAGGTTACATCCCATTCGATCTTGAGATCGAGCGCTCGTTTCATAGGCAAAGGAATCTTTATAGACAAATCCTAGCGGCATTTGAGGAAAACAATAATCGAAGAGGCCCTCCAAATGTATCTAGTGACTCAATAATTCCTTCAAATTCATAATCAGAGATGGTGGTACAAAAGAAGCTCAGTGACTACTCGCAGCGAAAGCTCAAAGATTTTTCGCACCTTACTCCCACTCCAGCCCTAGATGGAGTGAAATTTCAAATCAAGCCCCAATTTATCACCATGATAGAGAGGAAGCAATTTAGAGGAGCTAAGGGTGAAGATCCTAATCTTCACATTGCAGATTTCTGCCAATATTGCAACACCATTAGACAAGCCGGGGTCACGCATGACCAAATCAGGGAGATTTTTTTCCCTTTTCATTATGTGGCAAAGCTAAATTATGGTTTAATGGTTTGAATATAACTGCACTTGGTATTACTGACTGGGAAACTCTTGCCTTGAATTTTTATAATAAATATTACCCTGCAGAGAGAACAGCTGTACTAAGGAGTGTTATTCAGAACTTCGCCCAAGAGGCCGATGAAACTTTAATTTATATGAGGCTTGGGAGAAGTTCAAGGATCTACGGAGAGAATGCCCCTACCACAATCTTGCACAATGGCAATTGATCCAAGCTTTCTACATTGGACATGGAAATTCATCTAGATCAGTTCTAGATTCTGCAACTAGTGGGAGATTCATGAATTTAAATGTGGACGATGCCGGACAGGATATCGAAGATATGGAAATACACAATTCCCAATACCGGAGTAACAATGTACAAAACCCTCCACCTTCACAACAACCACAACATCAACCTCCACCACAGTAGAAATATTACCATCCTAATTCTGGATAGAAAAACCAAGCACAACCCTCATCATCTTCTGACCCTTCTATGACAGAAATTAGAGCAATGCTTACCAACATGAAAAAGCATATGGAGAGTAGGGATGCGCAAATTGATTCAATTTTAGCTCATAATAAAATCATGGATAATCAAATTGCACAACTTTCAACTACCTGACAAACCCGTCAGCAGGGAGCTCTACCATCAAAACCAATCCATCCCATAGTTGATGCCAATGCAATCACTCTAAGGAGTGATTCACATTATGATGGACCAGTTCCTGATCCGAATTCCTTATACCAAACGCTAATCCTGCTAACCCTGCAGGGCTACAAAAAGATACTAACCCTTCTAATATTTCTTTGTAGGGTAAATCTCAGGATAAGGAAAGAGATGTGCAGAGCCTAGTTATGAAACTACCGTTCCCTAATAGACAATTGAAGAGTAAGTTTGATAAACAATTTGGTAAGTTCTTGGAGGTTGTGAAAAACTTGTAGGTAACACTTCCTTTCACTGATTTAATCACTCAGGTTCCTGCATATGCTAAATTTATGAAAGACATTTTGACTAGGAAAAGGGCGTTTAATGAGGTAGAAACTGTAGCTTTTACAGAGGGATGTAGTGCCTTATTGCAAAATAAATCCCCTCATAAATTAAAGGATTTTGGTAGTTGTCTATCCCTTGTCATATAGGGAATGTTTTTATTGATAAAGCTTTGTGTGATTTGGGTGCCAGTGTCAGTGTGATGCCATCGTCTGTTTGTGCTAAACTTAATATGGGTGATTTAAAAGTTACTAATATAACTTTGCTAATGGCAGATCGTTTTGTAAAAACCCTCTAGGTATTTTAGAGGATGTCCCTGTCAGAGTAGGTAAATTTTTTATCCTTGTTGATTTGTAATTTAAGACATGGCTGAGGATACACAAATTCCCATTATATTAGGTAGGCCTTTCCTCCATACTGCAGGAGCCATTATTGATGTTAAAAATATTAAACTAACCCTTTCTGTTGGTGATGATAATGTTACTTTTAATTTAGGGAAAGTTTTGAAGGACCTATGCTAGAGGAAAATTGTTGTCTTATTGATGTAATTGATATAATGGATGATATTTGTGATGATAGCTTTCCACAGATTCTTGCAAGGGCTCCATTGAAGGAATTTCTTTGTGGGAATTTATCTGCAGATAATGCAAGCATCTGGGGTAATGAAGTACAAGATATTGAAAGAGCTCTTTCCCTAAAAGAGTTAGACCCCATGGAGACAATGAAGGTAGTAAATTTAGTTCAGGAATCGAAACATGCAGAGAAGAAACCTGAACTAAAACCTCTCCCTTCTCACTTAAAATATATTTTTCTAGATGAGCAGGAACTGTACT